CTGTAAACTTGTCTGCCAACTTGCATTTTGAACATGACCCCCCCCCCCAATAGATGGGGGAAAGCATGCTTTAGTCTGCTCAAGCATGGAAAGCTTTCACAGTCGAGCAAGGGATCATTTTTTTTTTTTTTTTTTTTTTTTTTTTTTTTTTTTTTTTTTTTTTTTTTTAAATATCTGAAACACAATCAAAATAATTTCTAAGGAATTAATGGATTTTATTTTAAATTTAATGATATTTATTGAATGGATGTCAAGACAAAGAAATTCTCCTCTTGCCTGGTTCCCGTTCCATCCTGGTCTTTTGAACAGGAATAGACATTTGTTTCCTTTTTGAATCTTCTCATTCTCTTTTTACTCTCAGTAGGTCCTTGCATCTTAGTGGCATTATTGCCTTACTTGGAGTGAATTGATTAAAAAAAAAAAAAAAAAAAAATATTTTATTAGTCTAAATGTTACTTTTAGGGGAATATTTTTTTTATTTTACTATTCTTCACCTAATACAAGGCCCAAGAGCTACTTGAAGTAGAATGAAGTTGTTGTAAGGGTATGCAGGGAGGATGCAAAAATTGTATATTATGAGGATATGTAGGATAGATAATGGCTGATCTTTGATTTGAAGAGATTATGATTATAGTCCATATCGACTTTATTTTTGTATCTAAAATGTAAACAAAGTAATTTCTAAGAAATTAATGGATTTTATTTCTATGACATTATTTCTTATTACTTTCTACTTGTTTGATTAGGGATCTCTTATTTTAAAATGTAAATTTGTGTTTTTTTAAAAGAAAACAAAAGACATTTAGTTACACACATTTCCACTAAATGTTTGTGTGTGTGATCTCCAAAATTTGCTATATTTCTGAGGGAATGTGGAAGAGTACTCAATAGATACAGCATTTATAGTTACAATGTTGATTTAGGAATCGGTTCAGCTAAATAGTAATTTTAAGACTATCACAAAACAGCCTGTTTAATTTCAGTTGACATAGTATGTTTAATTTCTAATTGTACTTCCAATTATTGAATAACTTATTTGGAATCCAAATGAAAAGTGTGTTTGACCAGTTCATGTTTTGTTCAGTTCTTGCTGTCAACTATGTGAATCCTTGTCTTGTGTTCCTGACATGTAGAATTTTATATAAAGAAAATGTGGCAAATTTTAACAAATGTATCTGCAAAAGGAAAAAAAAAAGTCAAAAGGACTATTCCCCCCCCTCAACATCCATTAATCCAGTTTCATATGTTTGTATATTATTAAAATTGAAAAAAAAAAGATTTTTAAAACAGTTAACAATTTTTTTTATTGTTTTTAAAAAGGTATTTTTAGAATTTTAATAAAACTCTTACATGAAACTGGATTTATGCATTTTCATTTTTGTCAATTAACAAAAATATTAAGGATTTATTTTGTTTATTTACAAGAATAATTTTACATCTCTAAGATTATAAAAATGTGAACCAATTACAATATTTATTATAAAGAAATAATTATAAAGACAAACTTGTTTTAATCATAAATTTATAAGAATATCTGAGACCAAGATTTAAATAAACACAAAGACTAGTTTTGAACAAAAACCCATTTTCTATCCATTTTTTGCTCTTGCCACGGAAATTCATTAAAATATGTTGAGAGCTAAAATAAAAAAAAAAGTGTCTAAATCCAATTTCATATGTTTTGGGTTTTATTAAAATATTAAAAGTACCTTTTTAAAGCATTAATAATTGCCAAGGGAATATACTGTATGCTGAAAAAAAATATATAGTCACACACTAAATCAACTATAGCAATTTTCATATACCAGAATTTTTCCATATCATAACAACACTTGTTGAAATCCTTACAGTATTTAGTATTGTTGATTTTAAATTGTTTTTAAAATTTTGGGAGTATTTTGTATGTTAAATAAAACTTAATTTTTCCCAAAAAAGTAATGAAAATTTATAGTACTAAGCTATGCAGCCTAGTAAAACCAACTGTACTTTGTACTCCCTTACCTGTTTGCACTCTCCAAAATTTGGTTTTGTTCAGTCAGTGTATGACTATTTTAGAGTGTGTGGCAGATGGACTAACAGCTGTCACAGAATTTCATACATAGATTTTATTTCTGGTCTGTACTCTTTAGTATTTGCTCCGTCACTATCCATGTTATTACAGTGAATGAAAGTTTTGAAGGATTTAATAATTCCTACCTGTGATATGGTCTACATAAATGCCCTGTAATAAATAAATAATTTTTGAAAGAATTTTTTTTAGCTGAGATTATTGTTTATTAGTATAAATGTTATTATTAGTGGGAACACATGCATGAGTTGGTATTAAAAAGTGTTTTGATTGCTGTTAGAAGCACAATTACAGGTAGGAATTGAACCACTTTTGGATTAGCCACATTTGTATTCGAAATGTAAAAATGGTAATTATGGAATAGAATTATATCCAATATTATTTTTCATTATGAAAGTGAAGTAAGCAGATATAGATTGTAGAAATTTGAAT